CCGTTGCCGGTCCCCGGCCCGGTACGGGGGCAACACTGAGGGTTGCGATCCGTTGCCGGACACGGAAAAAGACAAAAGACAAAAGAAAAAAAATGCATTTTTGTTTTTCAGGAGTGTTGATTAAAATGATCGGAGACGCGAAGGAAGACACAGCAGACGAGATGCAGGTGAAGAGCGGGGGGGCCACTGCTCTCTCAGGCAAGTAGCCCCAACCCAGCCGCTGTTACAGCTTTTATTACATTTAGCAAGCTTGTGCATGCTAGATAAGCATGAACGCATAAATTCTGTTATACTTTTCTCAAGAGCAGAAGTCCGTTACCTCCCTTCTCAAGCACTTGGTTATCTATAATGCGCCTCCTGGGAACATCCCAAGAAAGTGTTCTCACGACTTCAAGCGTTGTCAAGGATTGTTTGCAATCCTTGACATTTCTTGGTTACTTGTTTGCGAGTTCGCCAAGTGAACACGTCCTTGGGTGCTGACCACAGAAGTCCATTAACCAATTCCTTCAAAAACATTTTAAAGCACTATTTAAAAAGTCCATGCTCTTTAAAGCTCTTAGATAAATTGAATTTAGTCATTACTAAATATGCTTAAAAAGAATTTTGTCTCTTTAAAAGAGAGCTCTTTCAAAAATAATGTAAAAAATTATTCTGTAAAGTGATTTTTTTGAAATGTAAATCATCAACACAGTAAGAAAGCACAATTTCCTTTGAAGTGAATTATACATTATATTCTGTGATATTGTTTTAGCATTTATGTTGAACAAAGTTTCAAAATTACAGTAGACAATAAATATTATTTAATACACAAGTGGTTGATTTCATGTACAACCTTTTAAAGAACTTATAAACAAATGTAATCTCTTAACACATGTCAATTAATATAATAAATGAATAGGGATATCTGAAAATTTTATTATCTGTCATATAAGTATTAGTTTTTAATTCCATACAAGTTGTCCACAGTAAATAATGTTGAATATCAATGTCTTAAGGTTTAATTGACTTTAAAGATAAAATTATGCTTATTTCCTCCAAAGTAGGGATATGAAAATATCTTTTTTTCTTTTAACTCCAAAGTGTCAGCTCTTAGAACACAGATGTCACACTCTATAATTGTCCTGGAAAGTATGTGGTTGTTACTATATCAATTGATTTATACCATGGTGGTGATTGAGCTATTAGTACAAGCCTATCTTCCGTATGTAACAGTGGTATTTGTTCTTGTCTATGTCTGTAGTTACCATGCATTTCCCTAATCAATATTCTTAAAAATATTTGCCTAATAATTTTCATGAAAATGAGAAAATTCAATATGAATGGATCAAATAAAATTTATTACCATATTTTTGGTGGCCTCTGATCTTCACACAAAATTACAAGAAGATAAGTATGACTGGAAAGATAAGTAAAGTTAAACGGACAAATTACTTTTAAAATAGCAAGACAATGATTAGAGCTGTCAGTCTGCCTAGAAGAACTGGAGAAGATAAGTGCATAGAGTAGTGTGCTGTGGAAACTGCCCATATTTTTCATTATCTGTACAGCCTCATTGAATAAGGAGTAAAGCAACACGCTCTGTCCTCCATCTTCACCTCTCAGGCAGATAGCGTCTTTCTAAGTGACTCCAATACAACAATGTCTCCCATCTAACATGCTCTTACACTACAACTTTGACACTCCTTCCTACAAGAAGTGGAGTCCAAATTTCCTTCCTGTGAATTTGGAAAAAATTAGTCACTACTCCACACAGTAGAGTATGGCAGAAAATGTGTTTTGTGATTCCAAGGCTAAGCAATAGAGAGGATATAGCTCTTATCTAGATCACTCTCTTTTGGGACACCATGCTGTGAAAAAGCCCAAACTGGATCTAAGGAGAGACCACATAGAAAGTGGCATATAGACTAAAACAGAGGCCTTAAACTGACAGCCAGATACAAGTACGAGACATGAGAGTGAAGGTGTCTTTAGATGATTCTTGGGGGCCCACAGAGTCCCCCATTAGACGGAAAACAGACTCCAAGGACATTCTTTTCCTTATCCAATAAGAGAAGCCACATCAGAAGAAGCCATGGGCAGCCTATAGAGCCTGAACAATAACACACCTGTATGATATGTTCACTCATTGCACATGTATACAGCCTTCTCCATAAATATTCATAGCATTCGTCTAAATTCACTGAATATGAGTATGAACCTGATATTGGAAGGCATAAATACCAGCCTTCCTCCTTTTTCCTCCAGGGAGCTTATCTTTGTTCTTGAAGAGATCTGTGCTCACCTATTTGCAGATTGTCTTTGTTAGGGAAAATAATGTCTCCCTTTTCTTTTTAGTGGATCTTGTCGTTCTCTTTTTGTTAACAATATTTATAACAGTTGCACTCACTTTGGTTGATAATGAATATTTTAGAGAGTCTCTTATGCAGCCTTCCTAATTCAGATATTTTTTACGGTGATTTCAGTACATGAGAGCTCCGTGGTGAATGCTCCACAAGGTCATGTTGATAATAAATACACTTCAAAGATGGCAGGGTGATGGAAACTGCAATTTGATCTCATCTTTCTCCTTATCAAAACAAAACCTTATATAAATTAGAATAAAACAGATTATGGTATACAAAGTCTGTTACATAAATTACTAAATGTTTATACAACTTAAAAGAACAATTCTTTTCTTTAAAGTCAATATAGCAATTTAAAATAAAAACAAAGATAAGCAGACACACTGATAAACTTGAGTGTATTTTTCTGTAGAGAGAGACCTGTGTCAGGTTATATACTTCCAGTTAGGTTTTTTTTCATCCTTCCCCCACCAATATCACACTGCAGCCTGAAAGACAGAATAGTGAAGTGGATTGAACGTGACTTCAAATAAAAAATCAGGCTTCATCATTTTCTACCTATGATATAGTGGCCAATTCATTCAATCTTCTTCTGTCTACGTTTTAACACAAAACGTATTTACAGATGGGTAAGGGCGTTTAATCATGACATTTACAAAGAGCTTGACACATCATTGGTAGTTCAAAACGTGTTCTACTGATATTTCAAAGCCCACTTCAATATTTAAAATAAATCCCTGATTTTGTCATTAATATAGGGTATTGTTTTCAATTTTTCTTCAGCTGTTGTCTTTTTCCTTTTTGTCTGTTATCCTGGAAAAGTAGCTATCTGTTTCAGATATAATAATTAAAAAGGGGAGAGCATTATTAGTAGAGGCTTGCTTTCTTTTCTTTTCCTTTTTCATTGACAAACACAGCGTTAATAATTTCAAACTGTAAAGTCTGTAACTTTTGAATATTTTCTTGAATTTTTCCCTTGATCATAATTCCAATATTTATTTCTGTTTGTAGTTTCTCATTTTTTCCTATTTCTGCTGTTTGAGTGTCTTTCAATTACCTTTGTGTTCATGTAGATAGTAGTTTTATTTCATCAGAAGTTAAATTTTAGTGTTTCAATTCACTTTTATGCATCTGTTCTGATTATGTAATCCATAATAAGTGACTTCATGTTTATATTTGTTTAAATTAAACATATACCTTTTAAGTGAAGTACCTCTGTCATGTAAAATAAAGAAATAGGTAATACATCTTATCAGTGATGTGTATTGTGAAGATGTTTTCATTTCTTCAATTCTGATTAATTCTAATCTACTGTGGATATCTCTTTTCCCAATTATTTTAATTGGTCTGGAATGCCTTATTTGGTTTATTTGTTATACATTTCTGCTGCTGTTATCTTTTATTTTTATTTCAATTCTGGTATTTGTCATATTCATCTTGATAACTTTGCATTAGAGGAATAAACTAGCACTATCGCTACATAAATTAGCTTGTAGATAATTTATACTCTTTTAAATAATATTACTTTTCTTTCATCCAAACAGCAATGAAGAAAAGACTAGGTCAGAAGTGGAAAAAAACTTAATTTCCTAGAAATATATTTGTTAGTTTCACAATGAAAGAAAACACTAGGTTGGAGTTTTGAAAGAATAAGGAGTTTGATAAAGGTGAGATCAGGATGTAATATTAAATGTTGTTCAGAAAGTGAATCTGACTGATTTTGTAGTCAGGAAGCAGAAAATAATTTCAAAGCTGTATGAAAATATTTAGGAAGACTTCTTTCATTTTAGTTTGATTCATCAAAATTTCTACTTCTTAAAAAAAGTACAATCCTCTTTAGAGAGTCATTGAAAGCTTGTTTCACTTGCTTGTTTCTCAAGGAGTAAATGAAGGGGTTCAACAGGGGTGCAACAGAAGTAGTGAGAACTGAAACTCCTTTATTTATGGCCACCTCATTCTTTGCTGAGGGCTTGACGTAGATGAAGATGCAGCTTCCATAGGCAATGGAAACCACAATCATGTGGGATGAGCAGGTGGAAAAGGCCTTTTTTCTTTGCTGAATAGAGGGGAATCTCAGAATTGTTCTCATTATGTATGAGTAGGACAGAATCACACAGACTAGGGTGATAATGAGTGCAAATACAGCCACGAGTATAACCATCTGTTCTATTACCCATGTATCTGAGCACGAGATCTTTAGAAGGGGACCTGCATCACAGCTAAAATGATCAATGGCATTAGAGTCACAGAATTCAAGCTGGAGGCCCAAGCTAAGAGGTGGGACAATGATCAGCAAGCCAGCCACCCAACAGCAGAGGACTAATAAGGTGCACACCTTGTTGTTCATGATGGTCATGTAATGCAGGGGTTTACAGATGGCCACGTAGCGGTCATAGGACATGGCAGCCAAGAGAAAAAACTCCGTTCCTCCAAAGAGAATAACAAAGAATATTTGACTTGCACAAGCATTGTAGGTAATGGTATTGTCCCCAGTTGATATACTATACAAGAACCTAGGAATACAGACTGTGGTAAATGAGATTTCTAAGAAGGAAAAATTTCTGAGGAAAAAGTACATAGGAGTGTTAAGGTGGAGGTCCACCAATGTGAGGGTGATAATAGTCAGATTCCCTGTTATACTCAACATGTAGGTGAGAAATAGAAAGAAGAAAAGCAGAACTTGCAGTTGTGGGTCATCTGTCAGTCCCAGCAAGATGAAAGTTGTTATTACTGTGTGGTTTCTCATCTCTGACCTTTGATATCTACTCGATCCTCATGTGAACATCAAAATTTATGAGCAGGTAGATATTCAAATTCTATAGCATAAGACCATATATGTAGAAGTCAAGCAAACCAGCCTACATTTATTTTCTCCCTTTACATCATAATATCACCACAATTCCAATAGCCTTCCTGCATTTTTCATGTATGAGCAGTAGAGATTTCCTCAAGGATTCATGTTATTGCAAAACAATCCAAATTTTTCTTTGATTTTTCTTTGACCTTCAGAATTTACAGATGTAGTTAATTATGATTCATTGCACAGACTGGATCTATAAATGGGTTAGAGAAAGATGCTGCCACTTCCTGGGCACTGGAAAGTTTTTTGTACAAGACAAACTCTGGATATAGAACATATCCAGGTAATTAAGAACATGAATTCTCTTCAATTGCTATTTTCTAAGGATTGTTTTAAGGGTAGATACATTTCTCCTGGAAAGCAAACAAGCAATAATGACTTTAATATAATGAAACTCTGAATCCTGAGCCTTTCCCTTGTTTCTTTATTCTTTTCTGCTTGTATTCTCTATACTTCACCCCATAAGGATTGTTTTAAGGGTAGATACATTTCTCCTGGAAAGCAAACAAGCAATAATGACTTTAATGTAATGAAACTCTGAATCCTGAGCCTTTCCCTTGTTTCTTTATTCTTTTCTGCTTGTATTCTCTATACTTCACCCCATCGTACCTATAGGTGGTTTGACGTACAACAATTTTGCCTATAGTGTGAGAAAATGTTGTGTTCAAGATATCTACAAAAGGAATATTCTCATATGCTTTTATTTTACTTTCAGTAATTGACTGTGCTCCCTTTTCTCTTAAACCCCAGAAGCTAATTTTCATTTAACATCACTAAGTATAGTCTTCTAGGTTGTGTTTTTTTCCAGGATGTTTTTAATTCCCTTAAAAAGACATTAGCGTCTCCTTCTCATCTCACCCCTCTCAATTTAGGCTTTAACCCTCTGTGTTCTGAATTTCACTTCCAGCCCTCTGCAGCTTTCCTGACACCTACCCGGGCTTCATTACTGTTGAAACTAATGGTATGTCTTACTTTTTATCTTGGCTGGCCTTGCCACAGTATTTTTTCCTTAAAGTTCAATCATTTTAAAAATGGTTCCATGCCACCATTCTGATTTTTTCCCCCTAGCTTTAGATCTCTCTTTTAGTGTCTCTTCTTCAGTGAGATATATGCGTTTCCCCATATTCTATCTTTAGACCTCTCACTTCTTGTTTTCTGTTGTTCTTCTGATTCTGTACTTTCCAAGAGTGAATTCATCCAGTCCAACTGATTTGATTGCCATTTATGTAAAGTGATACGGACCAGATCTATTCCCCATGAAAAAGCATTGCCAGGAATCTGTCAGAAGTTGGATATTTCACAGATACCTCACTTGCCACATGCTCTAGGTGAAGTCAAGCTATCCCTCCAAGCCTTCTCTCCTTCCTGTATTAACTATTTTTTGATATAGATTAATTCTTTTGCGTGGCCTGCAAGACCCTTTATGGACAGGGCCTTCCTTGATTTTCCCATCTCATCACTCACCATTTTCTTGCCTTTCTTCCTCCTGGTTCAGGTTCCACTAACATTGACTACTTGCAATTCTTCGTATTTTGTACATGCTCTATCTTCTGCACAGGCTAATCTTTTGATGGACTATCGCTTACTAGTCCTACAGGATTCTCCTTAGTTATCAGTTCTTCAAGAAAATCGTCATTTACTCACACAGAGAATATAAAATTATGTTTCTTTGTTTTCTCCAAGTACCTGTTGCTTCTTTTCCAAGTACATGTCTTGGAATATATCATATGTATTATATTCTCCACCGTACATATATTTATCCTGTATGCTTCTGTAAACTTCTCTAAAGAAGAGACAATATTTTATAAGCCCCTGTATAAGAAACAAATATAGTGAAGAAATAAAATTCAGTGAAAAAACAAAACAGAATTGTCTATTACTCAGAGTAAGCTACCTTCCTTCATGCCTATTCTAGTTAATTGGTTCAAAGTTCTTATTTTCATATCTGTTTCAAACTGCACTGTCACTTTGAGTGCATTCTTAAACAAAAGGCCTACATATTCCCAACTCTAAACTCTGCAAATTCTTCTTTTTCAGTTAGTTTTACAGAGTTTTTCTTTTGCCTGTGAACCACTTTTCACTTTACACTTAATCATTCTCTACCTGCTGTTGTTATTTGTTAGCATGTTTCCTGTAATCTCTCTCCTGATCTCTTCCTTGTTAGGTAGTTTTTCCCCCTTTTTTTCCAGAATTTGCTCCCCATATACTATTTTCTAGAGATGCAGTTGTTCAACTTCTTGCTTTCCTTCCCCCTCTCCCCGCAAGGCTGAAGCCACCTGCTGTGTATCCAAAGATTTATTTCTCCTCTAAGAGAGAATTTTAATTCTCTTACTTTATTAAAATAAGCAGGAATTCAAATCGAAAAAAATATACATGAATACATTCAAGAAGTTCAAGAATATACTAATATTCTTAAGATCACTGGATCTTTTTTTTTAAATTTTATTTTATTTTGTCAATATACAATGTGGTTGATTATTGTGGCCCATTACCGAAACCTCCCTCCTTCCTACCTCTCCCCCCTCCCTCCCAACAACCTCCTTTCTGTTCTTTTGTCATATCAACTTCAAGCAATTATAATTGCTGAAGATCACTGATTCTTTTGAAAGTCACTTGAAAATAAACTCAAAAAACAAGGGCTTTGTTCTTTCTCTGCTATATCCTTGTTGCTATGGAAACTGTGCCTGATACAAAATATGTGTTCAATAATTTTTTTTTTTTTTTTCATGTCCGGCAACAGACCGCAACCCTCAGTGTCGCACCCGTACCGGACCGGGA